GAGGGGTGAACTGAGCTGGGGCAGGGGTCACTGCAGGACAAGATGGTTGAATGCTGTATTTTCTAAAGAATAAAATATTTTTAAATCTGAAAAAAAAGGAATGGAAAATAACTTTACATGTGGCTATGGAGTGATATCTGAGTTTTTATTATATTATTATTATTATTAATTTTGGTTTTTTTGAGACAGGGTCTTGCTAAGGAGTTCAGGCTGGACTTGAACTCACTATGTAGCTGATGCTGGCCTTGAACTTGTGATCCTCCTGCCTCAGCCTCCTGAGTTCTGGGGTTACAGGTATGTGCCACCATGCCTACCTCAGAGATATATTATTAAATGAGCAAAGCAATGTGGGCAGAAATGAGAGTTGCGAGGGGTGAATACAAAAACACAAACACATTTGCTTATGTTTTCTAAAAAATGAAAAGATAAACTAAAAACTAATAAACAAGCAGCCTTCACAAAGGTAAGGAGCACACTTACTTCAATCTTGATCCAAATTTACTGTTACACCCACACACACACACACACCCACACACACACACACACACAACTACCAGGGCCATTTGACTCAATGACTATTTGATGGAATTAGGGAATTTTTTGTTAGATTTTATGTGATGATGTTTAGTGAATTTGGAAATAGGTAAGACACTGTAGTTTTTAGAGATAAAATGGTGTCAGGCCTGGGAATTACTTCAGAACCACAGTCCAGGAAGGCAGGTGGGAACCTGGGAGCGGGAGCTGGTAACAGCTGAAGCAGGGTGCTGGAGACCCGGGGTGCATTCTTTCTGTTATTTGCACACACTGTACACTTCCCACAGTGAAAGTTGGTGGAGCGTCGACACCAGGCCCAGTGCTGCCAGCAGTGACTGGAGAGTGACAGGTGGCACTGCTGGGTCGACCAGCTGCCCGGGTCCCCACTGGTGAGGTGCCTGGGATGCTACATCTAGGGGTTGGGGACCTGGGGGCTCCAGTCATCCAAAAGCCACTGTTTCTCTCTGAGGCCCTGTGACCCCTTCCCAAGCCCCTGTGCCAGCTGCAGGGAGCACCTGTCTTTCCGCGCTCCCCAGCAGAGCCCTGGCAGCCGGTGAGTGACAGCAGAACTCCTGCAACCCTGGAGCTGGGGTCCAAGGCCCAGGGGCTGCAGGGTTGATCTCCCTGAGTCCGCTCTGGGTGTGGACACTGCTGTCTTGCTGTGTACTCCCCCACTTTACCCTGTGCCTATGCACTCCTACTGTCTCTTTTGAGTTTTTTTTTTTTGGTACCAGGGACTGAGTTCAGGTCCTTGCACTTGCACAGCAGGCGGCGAAACCACTGGGCTAAATCTCCGGCCCTCTCTTTTGTTTTTGAGAGAGGGTTTCACTGTGTTTTATGACCTGGCCTTGAATTCGTAAGAATCCTCCTGACTCAGCCTCCCCAGTGCTGGGATTAATTTTCCTATTTTTAATAACAATTTCTATAAAACTCTGGTTCTCAGTGTGGGGTCTCCAGGCCCCCCAGAAATTTGCTAGAAATCAAGTTTAGTGGCTCTACCCAGGCCTGGGAGTCAGACGCTACGAGGGGGACCCAGCCTCTGGTCTCAGCGGCCCCTTAAGTACCTAACACATGCTCCAGGGAGGGGCCTGGATGTCCACCCAGGGACAGCCTTGCAGCCTTGGGGTGGCTCGGAAATACTGGCACATGTCGGGATATCCTGGACCACACTGAATTGTTAAATATATTAATAATTCTCAAATGCACGAAATTAAACAACTGGTTTATCTTGCACGAGAGACCAACAAAAAATGAGTTTATGTTGCCAAGTGACTCATTACTGTGCACATCTTAAAAGTTTTTCCTGCTACCCTTGAGCCACTATAAAGTATCCCATGGCTGCAGACTGTACTGCATATTTTTTCCCCCTCTCTAGTACTGAGACCGCATACCCAACACCACTGAATACAGGGGCAATGACTTACAGGACCAGCCCTTTTAAAATTCTGAGATAAGATCTAAGCTACCCAGGCTTGCAGTCTTCCTGCCTCAGCCTCCTGAATAGCTGAGATTAAAGGCACGTGCCACCTCACCTTTCAGACCTCATACACTTTTTAGGTTCTTTCCTTGCAAGGTTGACTGTTTAAAAATTATGTGGGCATCAGAATTTTCTCCATATTAGAGAAGTAAAAATGAAAATAAATTTGCTGCTGATATTGGTAGATATCTATAAACACCAGCAGCAGAGAATCAGTTCTCATTGTCTGACCTTAAAAGAATTATATATATTGTTGTTGTTGCTTGTCTCTCACTATGTAGCTCAGACTGGCCTTGAACTCACTGTGGAGTCCAGGCTGGCCTCAAACTCACTGCACTTCTGCCTCAGCCTTCTGAGTGCTGGGATCACAGGTATGCACCACCACACCTAACTTAGAACATCACAGATTGAACTTAGACGCCACATCAGTTCTTCTTTAATCTGTTCTCTATGCTGCCATCCCATGCTTACCAAGGGCGGAACCCTGAAGGGCCTGTTGGGGAACATGCAGTCTCGCTCTCACGACCTGGACACCTGACTTCCCTAAGAAGCTCTTCAAGGCCCAACCTTGGGTCCTGAGGGGCCTGTGTTTCCTGCACCGGGTCCCAGTGTGGCTGCTGTGGGTCAGCTGGGGAGACAGACATCCTGCTTGGGTGTTCACAACACTGCAGCAAGCCCTGGGAAGGTGACCACCTGGGCGAGGGGACAGCACAGGGTCCTGAGCCCCCCCACCTTGCTGTCCCAACCCTTGCACCAAGTCACCTCAGCCAGACTGGAGCTGCAGGACAAAGGGACCTCGGGCCTCTGCGTCCCCACTGCACCTCCAGCCCTGTGGGCTGGCCAGTGCTGGAGCCACCTGCTTTGTCCTCCAGACAACTCTGACAGTCCTTTTCATCCTGACCTGCCCCATCTGCTCTGCCACTTGGCACCAGCATTTGGTGTCCCTCCAAGCAGAATCAACAGGTGGGGACACAGTCTCTTGTCCTCCTGGGGAGAGGCTTGTGTTTATCCACTCCACAAAGCCACCAGGGACAGCAAACAGAAAGTGCACTTCCTAGCTGTTACAATTGTCACTGTCACTGCCCTCAAGGCAGGGTGGACTGGGGTTGATGTGCTCATGTTTACTAATGACTTCTGCTGCCCTCCTTTCACCCGTCTTCACTGGGGTGCAACTGGGGCCTTCATGCAGGGCTGCTCTCCAGACTTTAGGGCAACAGTCTCCGAGTGACTGTCACATGGGGCATTGCACCTGCTTTGTTGCATTTAGCCACAGTCCCAAATCGAAGCAGTTCTGCTGGCAGCTCTGTGCTGTGCTTCTTAAAAAGCCTCTGCCTCTTGCATGAGCATCTTAACCGGAGACCTTGCTTCAACCTCAAGTGCATGGCAAGCACCCCAAGTCACCTGTGGGTCTCCCACCCCACACCCCCATGGGCCCACCATACCTGAATATTGCTCATCACACGGCCATTGCTCAATCTGTTTGACCCAAATGCTGCCAAGTTCCCAGAAGTTTACTTGTTTCCACCCTTACTTAACAATGTACCCTGCCAAGGAGGCCAGGGACAGGCTTCTAGCAGCACTGAGGAAACACCCTCTGTGCCAGGAAGAGGCACAGGACACCCAAGGCAGGATGGAAACACGGTCCATGTTTACAGAGCTGTAGTACAGTAAGACCCACTGCCACTGGTCTGGCTCAAATCCTCCTCTTGGCTTCGAGTACGCTCATACCATCATTCTTGCTTTCTGCAGCAGTTCCGGAAGTCTCCTTTCCTGAGTGTCTAGCTGTGCTGCCACGGCCACCTCAAAACCTTTCTCTTTCCTGGTCATTTTGACTTTGGACAAGAGCCAGAGTTGCAGTGGCAGACCTGGTGCTTTGCATGAGGTGGACGAGGACACCGTCGTGTTTTCACCAGCTGCCTTTCTGCTGGATGGCGCTCATAGCAGCAGTCACCATGTATCTTGATCACCGTGACAGCTATGTGCAGCTGCCCAGGTCTTGCTCGGCAAGCTAGCAATATGTCTTCCTAGGGCTGAGCACATGTTCATTTGAGGGGCCAGCTTGGGCACTTCAACTCATGCCTTGGACTCCAGGCAGGATGTTCAGCGCTGGCCTGGCTGAGGCTGGCAGGGCCCAGCTCTGCAGTCCTTGAGGCTGTTCCCCAGAGCAGACCCTGTTCCAAACCCTGGACAGGACCTAGGAGCCTGACTGTTGAGGGGTGGGGACACTAGGTTTCTAGGAGGTGCACCTGGAAGTGAACCTCAGTAAAACTCCATTCCAGGGGCTGCTTTTCAACCCCTTTCTGAAGGGTGAAGGATTAATGCTGCAGCTTCTGCTTACGGCAGGGACTTCAGCTCTCGATGAAGCAGTGGGATGAAGAATCAGGTGCCAATGAGCAAAAATGAAGCTGCAAAATGGTTGGTGCAGGAAGCCAGTCACTGAGGCCACACAGTGAATACCATGGCCCATGACAAGTCCAGAGGTGGACGATGCAGTGACAGGAAACATCACAGGTTGCCGGTCTAGGGGATGCACAGGCTTGGAGATGGAAGAAGAGCCCAAAGAGCAGGGCATCTTCTTGGGGTCATCAAAATGTTTGACAACTGACAGAGACGATTGGTCCTGCGTGCTTGCGGTGGTGTATGAGCCACAGGGATAGAGTCTGCACGCTCTGCTGAGAATTGCTCAGCTCCGAGAGCTTCTTCTCCAGCGCCGCCTCAGAGGAGGACATAGTGACGGTGGAGAGGCCCGGGAAAGAGCGGCCTAGGCCGCCCAGTGTAATGAGAAGAGCGACCGCACACGTCCCGGGCCCTAACTGACAGACCGCAAGACTCTTTACCAACTGACAGATGGCCAGCGGTGCAAGGCGGGGGAGGGGATGGGTCTCTGCAGTAATAGCCGCCCGCGTACCCGGCACAAGATGGCCACCCGACCTCTCACCCCGCCGCGAGAGCGAGGTTAAAGGGCAAAGGCCGGAGTAGCTGGGCACTGAGAGGAGTCGGAGCTGTAGGAAAACGTTGCTCTGGAAGCGGTGGCCTCTCTGACCCTCGCTCAGAGCACTTTGAAAAAGCAAGACAGAAAGACCTCCGTTTCCCAGGCCCGGAAGGAGCTTTGACCGTTCAAGCCTGCACGGCGGCGCAATGAATCTCACCGGAACCCTTTCTCCCACTGCTGCAGAACCTTTCTGGCGCGTTATGGCGCGCTGCTTAGAGCGTCACTTCCGGCGACTTGCAGGAGGCAGGAGAGTGAGGGAAAGGCTGGAAGGTGAGCCTGCAGGATGTTTCCTCAGTGAGAGGAAGGCTATTGCACAATGGCAGTGTTTGATACTCCTCAAGAGGCTTTTGGCATCCTACGTCCAGTCTGTGTTCAGCTCACAAAGACCCAGACAGTGGAGAATGTGGAACATCTACAGACACAATTACAAGCTGTGAGTGACACTGCCCTTCAGGAACTTCAGCAGTACATCCTCTTCCCCTTACGATTTACCTTGAAGACCCCAGGTCCTAAACGAGAGCATTTGGTCCAGAGTGTGGTGGAATGCCTCACATTTGTCCTCTCTTCAACATGTGTGAAAGAGCAAGAGTTTCTTCAGGAACTCTTTTCAGAGCTTTCTACATGTTTGTATTCTCCCAACTCCCAGAAACCTGCCGCTGTGTCAGAGGAGTTGAAATTGGCTGTAATCCAGGGACTTAACACCTTAATGCACTCAGCTTATGGTGACCTCATTGTGGGCTTTTACGAGCCCTCCATTCTGCCTCGTTTAGGATTTGCTGTATCTTTACTGTTAGGCTTGGCAAGACAGGAGAAATCAAAGCAAGTTAAAATTGCTGCCTTAAAATGTTTACAGGTTCTGCTCTTTCAGTGCGATTGTCAGGACCATCCTAGGTCCTTGGATGAGCTTGAGCAACAGCAGCTGGGGGATTTGTTTGCTTTTTTACCTGGAATCTCAACTGCACTGACCAGGGTTATCACAGGAGACTTTAAACAAGGTCACAGCATTGTGATATGTTCCCTAAAGATCTTTCACAAGACAGTGGGCTTTGTTATGGCTGATGAACAGCTCAGAAGAATCTCAAAGGCCCAAGCAGAGCCTGTAGTTGAGCATAGAATTGCAGAGCTAATGGTTCATAGAGAAGGAGATTGGGTAAAAAATACTAGTGACAAGTTGGTGATCCTTATTAAAAAAGATAATTGAGTGTATTTCGGTTCACCCACACTGGAAGGTAAGCCTAGAGCTGGTAGACCTTGTGGAGGCCCTTCTTTTGAAGTCCAGTCAGTCACTGGTCGATTCTGCTGGTCCCCTCCTGAAGGCTTTAGTGGGCCTCATAAATGATGAGAGTTCTGAAGTCCAAGCCCAGTGCAATAATGTTCTGAGACAATTTGCAGATCAAAAAGTAGTGGTGGGCAACAGAGCCTTTACAGACATCTTGTCAGAAAGCCTGCATCCCCTTACCACATCTCTTCCCCGCCTAATGAACTCCCAAGATGATCATGGCAAATTCTCTACTCTCTCCTTGTTACTTGGTTATCTGAAACTCTTGGGCCCCAAAATAAACTTTGTCCTCAACTCTGTAGCCCATCTCCAGTGACTTTCCAAAGCACTCATCCAAGTTCTAGAACTAGATGTTGCTGATGTAAAAATTGTTGAAGAGAGGAGTTGGAACTCTGATGACCTGAGTGCTTCTCCAAAGACCCCCACTACATGGCAAGGAAACCAAGTCCAGAGAAGATATTTCCACTTCTTCACAGATGAGAGAGTTTTTCTGCTTTTGCGACAAGTTTGTAGGCTTCTTGGTTATTATGGGAACCTTTATTTGCTTGTGGATCACTTTATGGAACTGTACCTTGAGTCTGTGGTTTACCGGAAGCAAGCCACCATGATCCTTAATGAACTGGTTACAGGGGCTGCTGGGTTGGAAGTAGAGGATCTTCAAGAAAAGCATACTAAAACAAGCCTAGAGGAACTGAGAGAGATTGTGACATCTTTACTTGAACTATACACTAGCCAAGAAAACTGGTATTTGGTTACCTGTATTGAAACTGAGGAGGGAGAGGAGCTAATGATGAAACAGTCAGACCTCCAGGCCATCACGTCTGGTGTGCACACCTGCCAAATTATATCTTTTCCAGCCTTCTCAAAGCCAAGTCCCACTATTTGCTCCATGAACAGCAACATCTGGCAAATATGCATCCAGTTGGAAGGGATTAGCCAGTTTGCATATGCACTAGGAAAAGACTTTCGTTTGCTCTTGATGTCAGCCCTCTATCCAGTACTAGAGAAGGCTGGAGACCAAACCCTGCTTATTAGTCAGGTGGCTACCTGCACCATGGTAGATATTTGTGTTGCTTGTAACTATGACTCCTTGCAGGACCTAATCAATCAAAATTCAGACTATTTGGTGAATGGCATTTCCTTAAATCTCCGCCATCTGTCTCTGCACCCTCATACCGCAAAGGTTTTGGAAGTCATGCTTTGGAATTCAGATGCTACCCTGCTTCCTTTGGTGGCAGATGTGGTTCAAGATGTCTTGGCCACCCTGGACCAATTTTACGATAAGAGAACTGCTTCCTTTGTCAGTGTTCTGCATGCCCTGCTGGTAGCATTAACCCAGTGGTTCCCAGAAACAAGTTATATCGGGCAACCCCAAGATCAAAGTTTAAAGGAGGAGGGAAGTTATTTGCACCAAACTTCTGAGAATAACACTACAGCTGAAGACATTGAACAGTTTGTGCTAGACTACCTCAAAGAGAAGGATGTGGCACAGGGAAATGTCTTGGATTTTGACAGTGATGAAGAGGAGCTGTCAGTCCCTCCAATGTTGGAGGAGAATGACACTCTTCCAGATGTGGAACCACCACTTCCAGTGCATATCCAGATAGCCAAGGATGTGATGGAGCGCTGCATTCACTTGTTGTCAGATAAAAATCTGAAGATCCGCTTGAAGGTCTTAGATGTGCTGGGTTTATGTGTAATTGTTCTGCAGTCATATAAGAACCAGCTCCTTCCCTTGGTTCATGGGGCCTGGCCCTCACTCGTGCACTGACTCACAAATGATGACCCCCTGGCAGTGCTCAGAGCCTTCAAGGCTTTGTGCACCCTGGGAGGCAAGTGTGATGATTTTCTTTGGAACTGTTTCTGCAAAGATGTCCTACCAAAGCTGGCTGGCTCCTTAGTTACCCAGGCTCCCATCAGTGCCAGGGCTGGACCAGTTTACTCACACACGCTGGCCTTCAAGTTGAAGCTGGCTGTCTTGCAGGGTCTAGGCCCCCTCTGTGAGAGACTGGACTTAGGTGAGGGTGACCTGAGTAAAGTGGCTGATGCCTGCTTGATTTACCTCAGCACCAAACAGCCCGTGAAATTACAAGAGGCTGCCAGGAGTGTCTTCCAACACTTGATGAAGGTAGATCCGGACTCCATCTGGTTCCTCCTAAATGAACTTTATTGCCCCCTGCAGTTCATAGCCCCTCACCCCAGCCTGCACCTGGTGCAGCGGCGGGGATTCTCTGGGCAGCAGAGCCTCTACTCGGCCAACGTGCTCTACCTGCTCCAGGAGCTGCAGTCCCCACCCCTGTGTGACGGGCAGGCCCTGCCTCCTGGAAGGAGCACCCCACACTGCCAGCCAGAAATTGGGCCAGCTGTACCCCAGCAGCAGAGATGAATGTGAAGGTGGATTAGACAGCCAATCGATTGATCGATCACACAAGTGCTTAGAAATTGGATTGAAGGAAAGAACCTGTTACTTATATTTCATTCCTCCATTTTTCAGATGACATTGTCTCAGGGCTCTAAGGGTTTAACTCCTTAGCATACCATCTCCACAGCCCTACCTGCCTCACAGGGTACAAACACACACACACACACACACACACACACCCCTGAATGATTAGGGGTGAGTAAAGCCAACCTGAGTGCTGGATGTGTCTGGACCTTGTTTAAATGTCACACGTCTAAGTACCTTAAGAATGTAACCGTGCCATCACAAATACATAGATTGGCCCCTCTGCATCCACACACCAGTCCCCTCTAATAATGAAATAGAGCTAATTTGTTGTACCTGACCTGTTATTTGGAAGAAAATGAAGTAGATATGTCTTGGATGAAAAGTGTGATCAAGAGCTCACTTTGAAGTTTGTTATCTAAATTGGGTGATATTTTTAATGAGTTTATGTTCTTGAATGGGTAATAAAGAACTATGGTACAAAAAAAAAATGTTTGACAACTGCATTAGTGTTGGCTGCCGGCTCCAGTTTCAGGACTCTGTGGTGAATTGTAGCATTACTGCTCAAGAAAGCTGTCAGAAAACCAAAGAATGACTCAGTATCATTTACTGTGGAGTCATTTAATACTGATTTCTAAGGCTTGCAGTTACATCTGCTTCTATAAATTTGAGAAAGGACAGAATAGCCTTGCTCACTCTCTATCCACACTGCCCTCCAGATGTTCACCATAGACCAAAGCAAGGATCTTGAGAGAAAATAAAATCAATGCTACAATACAGAGCCAAGCAAACTGGGAGTCAGAAACTGAGACCCACGGTGTCAGCACAGCAACTCCAGCCTGGCTGTGACTCTGGGGCGTCATGGTGCATTGTGGCCAGCGGCCTGGTGGTGCCCACACCCCGCTAGCACTGGGGTGGATCAGGGACTTCCTCACCAGACCCTGCACAGGAGAGCAGGGTTTCCTGTGGAGGAACCACTGCCTTTACTTCAGGCTAGTTAAGGTCAGGGAATTGGAGTGTCTGCCATGCCAAGCCAAGTGCTGCTCAGTTCTCTGCAGAGCAGGGCAGATTTTGGCTTAAGAGGTAGTCACCAAGCAGGAGAAACCATCTCAGCTCATGTGCCAGCTCTGTATCTAGACAAAAAAGAAATGGGGCACAGGACACCACTATGCAGGTCACCAGGAGACAGGGCAGAACAGGCAGAGAAGCCAACCAGGATGACAGGGGCTTCAGACCGACACACAGATAAGACATTAATTAACCTTAAAAGAAAACCCGGGCTGGGGATTTAGCTCAGTGGTTTCACCACCTGCTGCGCAAATGCAATGACCTGAGCTTCATCCCCAGTACCAAAAAAAACCCCCCAAAACAAACCAGATATGCAAACCTGATATTGGATCCCATGTTCCTTCTCCCTTAAAAACATGGAATAAGGACATTTCCCAACTTTCAGCTTTTTACTTTATTTTTTATTTTTTTATATATCCTTTTATTGGTACATTTTAGGTGTACAGTATAACATTCATCATTGGAGATATGCAACTTTACATACCTCTTGGTTCTTATTTTTTACCCCTTCCTCTGCCCTCCCTTCAACCCCTCCATCCCTCTCTATTTACAAAGACTTTGTGTACATTTTTTCATTTTCTCATATTAATTCCATTCCCTTCTTTCCTTTCCCCTACCCATCCCACTTCCCCCTCCCCTTTGCTCCTTTTCTTCCCATTTCACATTATCTATTATACCTTTCAGTCCTTGTTTACACTTTCAGTTTCTCACACTAGAGAAACTATTGGGTATTTACACGTGTGTCCCGTTTCTTTCACTTAAAGAGTATCGCTTCAATGTGAATCCATTCAGCTATGTCTTTAATTTCTTATTTTTGATGGCTCAGTACTACTCCATTTTATTAAAAAACCACATTTTCTTTATCCAGTCTCCAGTTGATGGGCATTTGGGCTGTTTCCAAGTTTTAGCTAT